TTTTAAAACTGAAGAGGCATGTATTGAAATAAATTTATAACGCCTTATTTCGTTTGGGCCTAGATAGTAGGCCTATAATAATACAATGCTTTTTTTTTTCACCATCCAACTATTTTTTTCGGGTTGGAGAAATGAATAACTACAAACTACTTATTTAGAAAACATATCAAAACGGTCACCATTTTGAATTCATGTGGTCAGCTGGTCAGCTGAGTTGGTTGCTTTTTACGTGCATTTGGAACAGAGACTTCCCTTTGCCGCATGTATTGTTGATACAAATAACCGAATTAATGTTCTGAAAATGTTAAATACATAAAACTATGACATCTTCGCTGGATATGATATGTGGAATAAGTGGTTGGACAAAGATCAAGTAAACCAGCTTGGTAAATACTCAAGTTATTTATCTTTTAAAATATCTTTCTGGTAAAGAAACGGCCTGAAAATACTGATCGTGGTAACAACTTGATGAAAAAGAGCCTCCTTAGGTGAAGTCCTACGTGCTGTGGCTATACACCGATAGAGTAATGAGTAGCGGGTCTAGAACTTGGCTTGGGTGGAAGCGGAAGAGAACAGCGAGTTTGTTGACCTCGAATTCCGTTGGTACCGTTTGGGGGTAGACCTATTCTCCACGTCACATGACCTCTGCTTGGGCGATGACGTGCTCTGCTGTGCCTATGGCTTGCCGGGGTGGACGGTGTCTGCAGGGATGACCTGGTCGTCTCAGAACCGTTACTTTCTGTCGACAAGACGTTATGGTGGTGCTGACTTCGGCCACTCAGAGGCGGGAGAGCCACCTGAGATGTCCTGAGAGGACGGATCTTGCAGCTCCGCTTGATGCTGCCATCTGGCGTCCACATACATCTCTTGCAGTCAGAGAAAAGGTCCATCTTTGACCACGAGTGGAACCCTCTGTCCATGAAGCTGTCCAGCTGTGGAGAAAGGAGGTGGAGTGACAGTTTATGTGTCTGTTTATTGGTTGTGTTTTTGTTCGTTGTACTTTTACTATTTAAACAAAAACGAATTGAGACAACTGACAGAACATACATATCAGGGGCAAAGGCTGACTTGTCTGAAAGGGTAATCAAAATGAGACAAAGAACCAGGTAGAATTGAGGCCACAGACGAAAAACTTTCCAACGATAGGAGCTTCTTATTCGAGGCTGCAGCACAAAGTTATGAATGAAAACAAATCCTGAATTCATATGATTATTGTATGTTCACCCGCCAAAATAATCGAGAAAATTGTCTCATTTCATAATTTTATTTTATTCCCACTTCGAGCAAAACGTAATTATAAGTTTTAAACGTATGATGGGAATAATGGTCTCAAGATCTTTCAACAGCAAACTTTTCAAATGTGTTTTTATGACACTTTTACTGCATACTAAGGTCATATGAGCGCCAAGGGGTGGATGTCAACAGAGAAGTCCAAACGGGGAATCAGGCTTACTCTGCTCATCTCTTTAGCCTCAACAGCACAAAGTCTGCTTCGACTATCAAGGCACCCCGGAAATAGCAGTTCACAAGAGAGTGGCAAACATACAAAAGAAGTAGAGGAAAAATGACAATAGTAAGGCTGAGGAAAGAAAAAGCAGCAGTTCCCCCTATGTTGTTCCGGCACAGTATGAGCATTGATAAATAAGCCCTTTTACAATTCTACCGTGTCTAAGAACTAAGAACATGTTAATATCCCCCTTTTGGGAATAGCCTTAAAGACATTTCAGTCAGTAGCACGGCCCGGGGGAGGGCAACAGTGAATTTTACTAAAGATGTGAATAAACAAACAGAAGCAAAGAAGAAGAGAAGACAATACTATGAGTTGTATTGGTACAGGTAATTTGATTTTCAATGTGGCTGTCTTCATCTAAGCTAGTTTTACGTGGCCTGGAAATCATAATCGTGACCTGATTTTATAGCGGAAAAATTGAGGGGATAAAAAAAAAGAACTCGCAGCCTCGAGATTATTTAGAGAATTTTTACTACACAAAAGTGACAGATCCCACTCTGATTCATTATGAAGGTCTACATTCGGCTAAGATCCCACACTTCAGATAATAATTTACGGACAAAAACCCGGGTGGGTACAGCCGATCAACCAAGAGTGAAAAGTTCAGATAATTCAACTGCCCGTCACGCCAAAGATCAGCCACTCTCGTGATTGTAATCCCAGAATCGTTGTAAAACTCGATGAAAGGGTACAGTGTTTGCCCCACACTGGATCACACTGAGGTGTGAACTGACCAACGCGTTTGTTTTCCCCACAAATCGTACTCGCATGCGTCTGAGCTCTCCATTCTCCAGCTATAAAAGAAGACGCCGATTTTATAACCTTCTGTAGCACATACGACTAACTAAAAAAACATCCTTTGGGAACAAGCACCATGAAGGTATGCTCCGATAATTCCGCAATTTAGGTTACCGTACATGTATCGCTCTGGAACACAATGCAGATTTCCGTGGTTCAATTCCTCAGGGGGATGTTCTTTAAAAGTGGGTTGCTTAGAAGAGTTTTAAAAGCGAGCAACCCACTTGGTTCGGATCTATCGACCATACACTTTATTTAAATATTAGGGCATTACATATATTGGTTTGGGGTTGTTGTTTTTTTGGACATTTCTTTCATAGCTGAACCAGGTGTAAAATTCATAATTATTCAATCATACCACACCGAACCCACCTTCCAATAGAGAGACTGTCGATAGAGGGCGCTCTCTGTCGGCCTCAAGAGTCGCTCCGTGACCTCATCTTGCTCCTTGGCCGAGATGGACGGCGGCTCACGTGGTCTCTCGACTGGAGGAGCCGACTCGGACCTCCGTTGGTGGAACCAGGGAGTACTGCGCATGTCTCAGCTGCCCGCTTTCCTGTGGTGCCATTTCAAAACGCAAAATGATATTATGAGAAATGGAATTGAAGTGTTTACTTGTCACAATTTATTATGATAATTTTAAAAGCGTTTAGACAGCTACCCTTCTGAAATGTTTCACACAAATCTTGTTTGCCCCCCATAACACTGTCACGCTTCTACATGGGATTG